TCAGCATGACTAGTCCCTGCAGACGGTGTACCAGCTCCCTACATGTCAGGGGCTTGCTATTTTGCTCTAATGCAATAAATGTGGAAGTTCAATTACCAAGCAACAATGAGATTGTGAAGTCTATTGTGGGCCTGCTCTGCAGTTCCCTGCCGAAGGCAACAAAGCAAGTCACACAACAAGCAGAGAAATCATTCTAAACCATGTGGAGATACCCAGAGTGATAACCCATCATGGTTTATTTTGATGGAAACAATAGTTACCCCGAGCAGGTGCAGAGGAGTGGTCCATAAAGGGAGGCTGTGAACGAGCCTCATTGATGAAGAACTTCTCTAGGACAAATGACTTCGATGAAAACTAGATTCCTATCTACAGGAGAGCAAAGCAGAAAGGGCTTACTGTGCTATGATTGTAACGACAAAAAGAGAGTTAGGTTATACACAGAGATCCATTGCCGCTGATGAGAAAAGCTTTTGAATATCTCAACTTGAAGTGGGAATTGCAATCATTTTGACTTTCTGCAATGTCCCCCTGCCTTTCTCTGTTAGTCTCTTTCTGCTATTAAGTTCTGCAATGCAACGCCTGCTCTAAACCTGTAATCAAGAACGTTTATATATGTGGAATGAGTCAGTTCACAATACATATAGCAACAAAAGTTCTCAGGTCAATGTATTTTTGAGGCAAGAGATTCTCATGTAGCTATATCCCCCCTTTATGTTACTCTTTCAACCACAGCTTGCCAGTGCAACTAATTTGGATCACAGCTTCCACTCTGCTAGCTGACCTTGGCCTTGGAAGAGACATTGAACTATGGCACAGAAATTCCAAACTGACGGTGGGTTGAGCAATGTAGAAGTTTATGTCTCTGTCAGTTAACTGTAAGTAATCCAGGGTTGGTCAGAGACCCCACAACCTTGGGGACCCCAGCTCTGTCTCCCTGGTCTCTCTGATACCCTCATGATACAGTTTCACCATCAAGGTATCATGTCAATACTTGAGCCTGCAACACGAACCGATACTCGGACCTCCCTTTAAGACACTTCCTGAATATTCCGTAAATCCCTCCTGTTAACATCCTGCTGGCCAGAAATTTGTGACTTGGGAAATAAAGCCTTTATTCTGATTGTGGGTGCATGCCAAGTCGCTTCAGTTGTGACCAACTCTTTGCGAACCTATAGACTGTAGCCTGCCAGACTCCTCTGTCCATGGGATTCTCCAGACAAGAATACTGGAATGGGTTGCCATGCCCTTCTCTGGGGGATCTTTCTGATCCACAGATGGAACTGTATCTCTTGAGTCTCCTACATTGTCAGGCGGGTTCTTTACCACTAGTGTTGCATTGTCTCTGGACCCAGATAACCTCCAGAGGAAGAGGAGAATTACTGGGGATAGCCAGTCTTTAAGTCAAGGATGTATATGAAAAGGCAAAAGGGAAAGTGAAAGGTAAGGCAGTGAAAGAAACACTACAATTAAGATGCACGTGTTTAAACATGGAAAATAATTTTTTTAAAAAACGGAGGGATAATTCTTATTACCACACATTCAATTACAGCCAGTGTGAAAAAGGGATGTGGGAAGGAATTATGATGAGAAAACACTGCGTGGCAAAACAAAGCTCTTTGAGAGAACCCCGGGTCACGCTCAGCCCTGACGCGGGTCTGAGCCCCATCCGCTGGTGCTTGCTAGGTCTGCACAAGTCACTCAGTCCTGAATGGCAGTCTGGAATTCAGTGTCCTGACAGCTTCTTTCTGGCTGAGAAGATGGAGGACACAGCTCACCCTCATTTCCCGTCTGGATATATTGATCAGAAGGTGGAGGACAAAGTCTCACCCTCATTTCCTGCCTGGATGCATGGATCATGAGCTTCCTGTCTGATTAGCATCTCCTCTCGCTGATGGAAGAAAACCCAGTGTGGGAAGAAATTAAATATGAAGGGGGTCTGTACTTTGCCCCACCAGGAGGAGGAGACACACACAGTTCAGGGCTTCACTGGGAGCCTCCCGGCCTGCAGGACGAGCCCCCTGATATGTGTCCACTCAACACTAATCATCATGGGCCTGAGGGTAGCTCCACAGTCAAAACTCCAGCTACACATCTCCTTGTGCCAAATCATACAGTATTTCATCTTCTCGTTCATCACTATTCTAAGAGGCAGAGCGGGAAACAGTACTGTCCACTGACAAACTGCTAGTCAAACACTTGGACAGGCTATGATTTGGACACCCAAATCAGGTCTGGACTTAAGGAATTCAGGTAGACAACTTCACTGCGGAAAGAAAAAAGATGCATTTACAGAGAAAATCTTTATTGCAAAAGGGATGTCCTTCTGAAGCTGCTGACTTTGATTTCAGTACAGCCATTATACTCTGGTTCCACGGGCTTCCCTTGAGGCTCAGTGGTAAAGAATCTGTCTGCTAATGCAGAAGACGTGGGTTTGATCCCTGGGTTGGGAAGATCCCCTGGAGATGAAAACGGCAGCTCAGTCCAGTATTCTTGACTGGCAAAGCCTATGGATTTTCCAGAGCCTGGCAGGGTACAGTCCACGGGGCTGCAAACAGTTGGACGTGAATGAGCATGTTTGCACCATTCACCTGGCTGCCTACAAAAAGAGCTTAATTGTTCAGAGTGTAATTCTCTGTATATGAAATACCAGGTTCTGTGTACTTGGGTACATTCATAAACAGACATAAATTGCCTTCTTTGATGTCTCACAATTCTTGGAAAAATTTACAAGTCCTTGCATCTAAGAGCAGAAAGGATTATTTTCCTCTACTCATATTTGTAACACAAATATGGTGCTTTTACTTCCAACTAAAATCCACATGAACCTCCTCATTATATGGCACGCGATGCCTTTCGTATGAATTTCCTGTGGCCGTTGTCACACATTCGGTGGCCTGTAGCAGCAGGAATGGAGTCTCCCTCATCTCTGGAGGTGTTGGCAGGGCCACGCTCCCTCCAGTGGCTATGAGAGCGATTTTGCTCCTTGACTTTTCTGATGTTTGGGGGTTGAAGGAAACGCTGGTCCTTCCGTGGCTTGTAGCCACTTCACCCCAATGTCTGCCTCCATCATCACACGGCCTCTTCTGTGTCTTCTCTTCTGTCCTGGGTCCCCTCTAGAGGACACTTGAGATAGGATATAGGGCTCATCCAGACAATCCAGAATGATCTCTTCATCGACAGATGCTTAACGATGCTGATAAAGCTTCCTTTTCCAAATAAGCAGCACCAACAGGTTCTTGGGTTGGGTATAGATATATCTTTAGGGGACCCACTACACCCTTGATGGTGTGGCTCCCTGGGTTCATTTTAATGTCATCTCCTGCAATGCCCTGTATAGTGACCTATCCGTTGCCCTTATCAAATACACAGCGTTGTTCACACAGCGTTGCGTCCTCCCACTGTAAGAAATGTGGCTTTCTTTCTTGTGCAACCTGTGACCTCCTACTCGCTGTCTGCCCCAAATTTCCCATGATTGCCTCCACGCGCCTTCTTCCTGAATGCACAAACGCGCTGGAGCCCTTGTGACGATGCTTCCCATTTTCTACAAAAGCTTTCATCTGACTGTGTTTCCTCCGCCACAGATTGCAAACATTCATCCCGTGTCTGCTTCAATACCCCAGGTGGTCTGTAATGGTCTTAACAACTTTTTTTAATATCACAAGTAAACTGAAATTATTTAAATTTCCTTTCTTTAAAAGGAAAAAAAAAATAGATTGCCTGAAACCCTAACATCAAATGGCTTCCCTGGTGGCTCAGATGGTAAAGAATCCGCCTGCCGTGCAGGAGGCCTGGGTTCGATCCCTAGGTCAGGAAGATCCCCTAGAGAAGGGAATAGCCATCCACTCCAGGATTCTTGCCTGGAGAAACCCATGGACAGAGGAGCCTGGCGGGCTACGGTCCACGGGGTCGCAGAGAGTCAGACGCGACTGAGCAACTAACATAAGCACTACCATCAAAAGTTAAAAACAGGAAACATTTAATTCACGTACATCCTTCCTATATTTATGTATATGCATACTTGTGGGTACATGAAAAGTTACTAAACTCAATCTGTAAATCTATTTTGTCCAGACACAGCATGCACTTAATGGATGTTTGATGAATAAATTAATGAATTTATGAATCAAAGAATTAAAAATTTGCCACTTAGAGATAGCTACAATGGTCAGAGAATAAAAGATTCAAAGAAGTCATTACTTTGGCCCAAACATAAGTCTCGGCTAGGGTTCCTAAAGATTTATTTTTAAGATCTTATCAAAAGGTGTTTACTTACTATCCAAGTTATATACAGATTTAAGGAGTAGAAATAAAAGAATTCTTCCACGTGGTGAAGATAGTCTATTCTTCTAAGTAATTCATTCTTGAAGTTGTCTCTTCTTCACAATGTTCTAAAATATAACAAAAGACATATTTTCTCCACACTCTCGACTTCACTGTCTTTCCAAAGATGGTCTTGAGCAAATGTGGAAAGACAGTATTAATAACTGGGACCCGTGAGAAACATCTAGTTCATTCATTCAATAAACCAAAGACAGAAGAGAAAATAAACAAGCTTTCATGAGTTTTTACCTTTTATGAATTCAAATTAACATGAAGTTCCCTGCAGAAGCAAAAGTGATCAGGGAAAACTTGTAAATAGAAGTCCGTCCTTCTGACACATACAGATTTATTTCCCAAAAGTTACACGTCTATTAGCCTGAGGCACAGAGAGTGCAAGTCTGTGAACTTGACAGAGAATAAAACGCCCGGTTCTTCCTTCCGCGCTGTAGATGGCGGGAAGGCAGCTCTCCAGCACACCTCCTCAGGGCGCAGCCACGGACCCCTGCCGGGCGTTCACCACACTCAGAGATGGGTCTGCTCTGGCCGGGAGGGACACAGCCTCCTCCTAGAACAGTTTTCTCCTGACTCTGGAAGACACTTGAGTTTGCTGAGTTCCGAAGGAGAATTCCAACACGCTCTCACAAAGGCCTGCTTTTTATCCTGCGTTCTCAAAATGGGAAGTCTCAAAGAGGTACAAAGACCAAACCCGCAGACAGTGGGCCACTGGAAAGCCAAAATCTACGCCTTGGTGATGACAGTGAACTCAGGTTGGCATAGGCTTCAGTCAGACTTAGGCTGTTCTGCGTGTCGCTCTAAAAGGAACTTCATGGGAAGGAAAAAAGTGAAAGCGCTATCGCTTTAAATTTCTCACCCGTTAAATGGCAGACTTCCTCCTGATCCCTTATGTGGGGTTTGGCTTTAAAAGGAAATACGGCAAGGGCCCTGGAAAGCAAACTATCTTTTAGCTCTTCTCTGCTCCTGAGTCTCCTCTCCTGCAAATCTATCAGAAAGCTCCGAAACAAGGAGAAATCCAAAATATAAAACAGCAAAGGTGGTGCTTCCTTAGTTCAGTTCAGTCGCTCAGTCGTGTCCAACTCTTTGCGACCCCATGGACCGCAGCACGCAAGGCCTCCCTGTCCATCACCGACTCGCGGAGTTAGAATAAGTGTATTTCATAAACTTGCCCTTCAACCTTTTATTATGATCAGATCCATCAGCCAGAACAAAAATGATATTTTGAAATTAGTAGCTATGACTGAGAGCTGCAATTTTATAGACTTTATAATTGGTCTTAATATCCACTTTATTTTCTTGTGATTGTACAGACCCTGAGAAATTACGATTTAAAAAAATAGTATTTAACCTCAATCTAGGATATTCTTCAATCACATAGAAAGAGCAGAAACTAAAAGCTGGCACAGTAGTCAAAAAAGAGACATCTGATGTGTTAAAATTTTATTACGTTTTAGAAATATGTGAAAATATCTTGTGGAATAAAAATATAATCAAATGTTCCCAACCCTTCCCCTTTCCCAGGATTCTACACAGTTTGAAAATTGCCTGTCAAGATGGCCTCTGAGAGTCCCTCCAGCCCCCAAAGTCAGCGACTGTGTATTTGCTCGTTGAGCTGAGTAAGACGCTGCTGACTGAACTCCTGCTCGGAGGCTCTGCCAAGCTCGGGGAAGTCTCGGCTATGCACGCAGCCTGAGAAGGTGAGATGCCGGGATGATAAATCATCACAGATGAACTAAGGTCTCGATTTCTTTCATCTTGCAGACTCATATAATCCCCTCTAATGCGAAGGTTTTAACAACGTGAATGTGATTTAAAGGACCTTGAAATCTCCTTTCGATCAAATCCTTCTCTGACAATGTCAGGATGCCTGCGGTTTCTATTTTAGAAAGTCTTCTGGGCAGCCCATGCCAGGCCTCTGCTGAAACAACTCGTTAGGGGCACATGACATGCCAGCCATGAACATCCCAGGCAAACTCAAATATAAACGCAATTGGCATAAGCACATCATCTTATTCTCATATTCCACAATTATTTACGGAGTGTCTGTTTGTTGATAGGCTCTATAGTTATCTCTGAGCTAATTTCTGCCCTCTAGGAATTTGAAATTAGGCAGAGAAGAAATATTTAATGAAACCGTGTGCTGTGCTTGGTCGCTCGGTCGTGTCTGATTCTTTGCAACCCCATGGACTGTAGCCTGCCAGGCTCCTGTGTCCATGAAGATTCTCCAAGCAAAAATACTGGAGTGGGTTGCCATGCCTTCTTCCAGGGTGATCTTCCCAACCCAGGAATTGAACTGGGGTCTCCTGCATGGCAGGCAGATTCTTTACCAGAGCAGCTCAATGAAATTACATCACTAAAATAAATCATATGGTAGATATCACTAAAGACAATCATGGAAAGAAACATGAATGAGGACAAGAAGCTCTTCGAGATGGACTAAATAATCGGGGAGGATCTTTGATTAGATGAGTAAGGGAAAACAGTCTGTGGGCAGATCACAGAGATCTACAGAGAGAAGATGTCTGGAAAGGAGCCACATGCATGACTGTGGACATTTAGATCTCAAAGGCCTTGGGAACTCGGAAGAAAACCTGATTAACTTTGTTCAGTGCAGGATTTCTCAAAAATACACGGCCACTAGTCTATTAATCACTCATTCACTGTCAGTAAAGGTGCTACTATAATATCAGAAACATCTGGATTGGATCCTAACTCCTCTGCCAGCCTCTGTGAACTTGTCTGTTAGTCGCTCAGTCATGTCGGACTCTTCACGACCCCATGGACTGTGGCCTACGAGGCTCCTCCGTCCGTGGGATTCTCCAGACAAGAATACCACAGTGGGTAGCCACTTCCGTCTCCAGGGGATCTTCCCAACTTTCAGGGGTTGAAGCTGGGTCTCCTGAATTGCAAGCAGACTCTTTACTCTCTGAGCCACCGGGGAAGCACCAGCGAAGTAATCTAACCTCTCAGAACCTCAATTCCTTTATCTGAAAACTGAGGATAATACGTAGACTCTGATTCCCTTGGGGGTGACTGTAGCTGTCTGAGTTACATAATCAATAAACGGATAATAACGCCTTCCCATGAGGCGGGAATAGCAGGATCAGAAAGCAAGGTTCCAGCTGGGAGCTCAGTAACTGCAGGCTCCCGTTCTCTCTTCCTTCAGTCTTTATTAAAGAGGAATGAGGCTGAAGAGGAAAGTACCTTTGTAAGGGTTGTAAGTGAAACGCAGCCCTGAGACCGGCACCCGGCTCTCCTGACAGCTGGTGCAGGGTCCTCGATTTCACTCTGAGCAACGGCTGATGAGAATGCGCTGAGAAGCAAAGATCCGGGGACGGACTGAAGATGCCAATTGTGATGGATACAAGTAAATGAAGGAAAACCCCAAGTTTTAATGGTTTCAACTTGATAGACTGTTAGTGATGCTCTCAACATGACAGAGAGTGCCGAGACCCTGATCTGAACCCCTTGGCTCACTCTGTATGACCCTGTAGGTCCCTCATGGCGCTAGTGGTAAAGAACCTATGCTTTAGTCAATCTAGACCAGTTATCATTCCATAATGCAAGCTAATTCCCCAACTTGTTTTTGCTTGAATCGAGACTTCATGCCATTCACACCTTCTGTGTGGGACAACGCACTATCAAGAACACAGAACTGTTTTTGGAAAAATTTTTTTCTACTCTGATTCAACGCATGACTACATCAGAGCATCTTTGTGCACATGCTAAGTGGCTTTAATCGTGTCCGACTCTTTGTGATCCCAGGGACTGAAGCCTGCCAGACTCCTCTGTCTATGGGATTCTCCAGGCAAGAATACTGGAGTGGGTTGCCTTGCCCTCCTCCAGAGGATCCTCCCAACTCCAGGATCGAACCTGAGTCCCTTCTGTCTCCTGCACTGGCAGGTGGATTCTTTACCACTAGCGCCACCTGGGAAGCCCAGAGCATCTTTACTGGGCTAGTTTTCAATTCAATAGAAGATTAACAAGTAGGTTGCCTCGACCAATTCTGGAATATAACTTATTTCTTATTGTTTCAGGTTTGATATTACAGGCTAAGTTGTATTTAAAAATGACACTTAAATATCATTAAGGAGCTTTCACTTGAGAAAAGTATTTTGTAGTCATCATGGAATTGCTCGAAGAAATGCCGAGTGAGATGCTAAGGATTACCTCAATCATCAAGGTAAGACAGAGGCTGAGGCTGCCCAGTCTCAGGTCAATAGCAAATCAAGAAAGAGAATTCATGGTGTAAAGTTTTTGTTAATTTATTTTCTTAGATAATTTGATGACACAGGTTTATGAGATGAGAAACATCATCTGATTATTTTTCATTTAGGCTTGGCACAGAGGCACACTTTTAACTTAAAGTGGTACCATCCACCAGTTTTTAATAGGGCTTCCCAGGTGGCTCAGTGGTAAAGAATCCACCTGCCAAAGCACGAGACTCAGGAAACAGGGATTTGATCTGTGGATCAGGAAGATTCCCTGGAGAAGGAAATGGCTACTCACTCCAGAATTCTTGCTGGGGAATCCCATGGACAGAGGAGCCTGGCGGGCTACAGTCCGTGGGGTCAAAAAGAATCGGACACGACGGTAAACACTCACTGGTTTTCAAAAATTTGCCCTCACATAACTTCTACATACAGACATGGCTCAATTAGATTTTCTCTAGTTTTACAGGGGAAAAGTGTCAATATGTGCATATACCCAACTGCATTAATTTTGATAGGATAAATGTAGCACATTTAGAATCTTAACAATTATGATTCAAGCAATAAAGGTGAGTAAACTGAATGAACAGAACGGGCTGTGATGCCATGCATCTAGGCATGGGTATGTGTATTTAGCTTTCAAGTATATGGTTTCAAAGAACATTCTTCCTACCTAATCAGGTTCTATTTAACATATGAAAGCTGCTCTTGACATTCTCTATTCAACTAAGCCAACAAAGAAATGGAAATTCTTTCACTATTTCTTATGTTCTCACCTATTTATGAAAATGTATATTAAAGAAGAAAAAGCATTCCAGAAAATATCTATCCTGTAGATAAACAGGAAATGTCTTATCTCTGTGCTTTGTCCAATTTCAGTGATCAATGGCTTCATATTGCATATTTTCATCATCGATTGAGAAAAAAATATAGGGCAGAAATACATGCAAAGTGATTTAAGCTTCAACTTTGAATTTTTAAAAGTTTAATATTTTAATGATTTTTAAAAATAATGTAAGAACTCTATAAAGAACAGAAAGAATAGAATGACAAAGTAGCTCCAAGTTTGAAAAAATGAAGAATGTTCTAGAACATTCTTCTTAAAGAAAGTTCAGAAAGGATATACCAAACTGGAGTAGGGAGTGAATTTGGGGGAGTGGGAAACAGGTATGGTGGCCAGGCTCCAATATGACCCCAATGATCCTCTCTCTTGATGAATATTCAACACTCATGAGACCCTTCCACAAACACACACGGGAACTTCCACTTTCTCTTAGCATTTTCTATTTACTTAGGCAATTAGCATGAATTCATACAAGTATCCCCAAAGCAGCACCATCCCCCATCTTGATCCTCCCTATGCCCTATGCCTGGTAAAGTAGCTGGTACACAGTAGGCTCTTAATAAATGTCTGTTGAATAAATTCAACATCTTCCATTAAAAGTATGCTCTTGGTCCAATATGGAAATGACCAGAAGACCCTGCAAATGCAACCAGTCAGCCACCTTCTTTCTCAGGGGGTAGCTGAAGACTGTAATGTAATAGAGACTACAAATTGTGCCTAATATTTCAAAAATACCTTAGCTTCTGTCTGCAATAAGGTGGGATATAAATACATCAAACGTTTCAAAACCCTGAAAACACTGAGTTGACCAATGACAGCGCTGTAAAGCCCCAACCACCACAGCGGAAAGGAGGATGAAAATTTACCTACTTCACCACATACGGTCTAGACAAAAGCGGCGAGAACTGCACCGCGAGGAAGACTGATTGCTCTGGGAATTCGCGGTCTCTGACCTCAGCCAGGCCCTCCAAATGCCCAGGAAACACTGTGTTTCCCTTGTCAACCCCCTCCTGTTCTGCACAGGAAGATTGTAAAACCTTCTGTACTCTCCTGGCCACTTAACATCAGCCGGTTTCTCTGTCCCCACTCTCCCCTCCCCAAGTCAATGAGGTCACTTCGGCTCCTGATCGGCCAGGCTCCTCTGCCCATGGAATTCTCCAGGCTACTGGAGAGGGTAGCCTCTCCCTTCTCCTGGGGATCTTCCCAACCTAGGGATCGAACCCAGGTCTCCCGCATCGCGGGCGGATTCTTTACCAGCTGAGCTCCCAGGGAAGCCCGTTTAGTAGAGAGAGTTGCTAGAAGGCAACTCGCCCTCCTGCAGGAAGCTCGCGCTGGGCCCGCCCTGCCTCGCCCCGGGATCCGCCGCTGCAGGGCACTGCGTCCGCCTGCTCTCGGAACCAGGGCTTAGGAGGAACTGGGACTGGCCACGGTCCCCTGACCTCGAGGGGAGTCCACCTCCCAGGAAGGCTCAGAGAGCCCTGGAGCCAGTGCGGGAGGGGAGACCGTAGATCCCAGGACCACAGGGAGATAGTTCTGGGTCTGGCCAAGCCTGACCCCTGCGTCAGAAACCGGGATCTAAGTAATGCATTGTGCTTCTTCAGGTGACGGGGTCTCCTGAGTGGGTCACAGAAATCAAAGGAATTTCAGAGGTTCACAGAGACAGGAAAGGAGGAGACAGAAATAGAAGGGGCGAATGCCAAGGTCATTTCCCTGACTCAAGGCCTGGGCCCTGCCCTGACTCTCAGTTCAGTTCAGTTCAGTTGCTGAGTCGTGTCTGACTCTCTGTGACTCCCTGGACTGCAGCACGCCAGGCCTCCCTGTCCATCACCAACTCCCGGAATTTACCCAAAGTCATCTCCACGGGGTCGGTGATGCCATCCAGCCATCTCATCCTCTGCCGTCCCTTCTCCTCCTGCCCTCAATCTTTCCCAGCATCAGCCCTGACTCCACTTTGTCTCAAATTTACATGACAATTTAAGTGTTAACATTCCTTTCCTAAAACAATCTTTTCTTTCTCCTTGTTCTCCTTCCTGTTCCAGCTTTTATCAGCTATCATGTCTTTACTTAAAATCATCTCCAGCAGTTGTCGCTTGTAAAAGACATAGCCAAAGGAAATTCTCTCTAGGACTCAGGGAACTCAAACTGGGGCTCTGTGACAACCTTCGAGAAGACTCTTGAGAGCCCCTTGGACAGCAAGGAGATCAAACCAGTCCATCCTAAAGGAAATCAACCCTGAATACTCATCAGAAGGACTGACGCTGAGGCTGAAGCTCCAGTACTTGGGCCATCTGATGCGAAGCGCCCACTCATTGGAAAAGATCCTGTGTGCGGAAAAAACATACAATGAATCCTGAAGTGCTGTGCACAGAAGCTGCCTGAAAGGCCAACGTTAGAACAGTCTTTGTTGGACACATTCTCGAAAATGCTACAAAGAAAATAAAAATGATTTTTCTCCTGAGTAAACCAAGCATTGCTTCCATATTTGAATAAGGCAGACAAATTGTGTCTGTACATTTGAGATCTATAGGAGCAGTGTACGGTTGTTACCGCGTTACTGCTCTTCGGCAGCTAGTAATTTGGAGATACATAATACATATATTTGCAGTGTGGCCAGTTTTGATGATTAGCTAGATGTTCAGGCTGGAAACGCATGAAGATAGTGCTTTTGAATATTCTGAAAGAAACAGTCATTTATAAACTTACTCTGAGAATACATTTCCTCTGAGAATCGTTTTACTTTTTCTAGCCATAAATACTATGAGAAATAACTACAAGTTCTGGTTCCAAGTGATAAAACATGTAGCTGAGTATCTGAAAATCTGAAAATTCATCTGAATTATTGTCAGCATTCTTGTTGAAAATATAGGTGAGAAAGAAATAGAAAATATAATAGCTAATCTTGCAAGAAATTTTAGGTAATACAACAGATTTTTCCCCCCCAAAGTTTTAATATTATTGCTGAAAAATAAAATATACAGGCATTTACTCTTTTCTTTCTTTTTTTTTTTTTTAATAATGCAGCTATTTGGACAGAAAAACAAATGATGTATTGATTATCTTGAAACACAGGAAAATCAGGACTTGATATTTTAAATGAAAAATACAACTAAGATCACATTAATTTAGGATGCTTTTATTCTTAGTAGCGTTCTGACTAAAGTAATGATCACCACTGTAGGTTGATAAGTCATTGCTAACACAATTCCTTATTGTATCATGAAAAAAAATAATTGCTTTCCCTAGGTAACTTACAGGACCTCTTCCAAGAAGAAATTATTTTATCTTCATAGACCACCTTGTGAGTTAGACATCATTTTAAATAGAACTGAAATGTTCCATTTCTTATGTAGCTCAAAAAAAAAAAAAATCACTTTATGTTCTGCTCAGTGATAACCCAGAAATAACCAGAGTAGTGGGCTGTTAATTAGTTATAGCTTCCCTTATCACCAAGGAAACAACCAAAACAAGTCACAGCAACTTTACATGTCCTAGTCCCAGCCCAGGCTTAATTCTGTTATTGCTATAGTAACTCTCCAGTAGAGTTTCTCAGAACTGTTTCCACAAAGCTTAAATGATAATTTACTGATAAGACATTGCCTACTCCAAATGCATTTCAGAGTTCAAGGATGCTACGGATTTCAAGTCTGCAATCCCTCTGGGGAAAAGCAAAGGGACTCTGATCAGAAGGGAGGGTTGCTGCCTGCCCACAAGGGACCGTCACAGAACACCTGCCCTTTCTAGGAAGAGGGCCACCACCAGGGCAGCCTGGCCATCTGTGAGTCAGTTTCCCTCCAGACTTGCTGTACCCACCTGGAGAATTCTCGTCTGCCTCTTCACCACCCTGCATTCAAGAAACCTCCTCTGATTAACCGCATCCCAGCCTGAGCACTTCATTCAACACCTGCTCAGAACTAATTAAGCTTCAGACAAATGGCACGCCCTCAGACAGCCTATCAGAGAATTAGCTTCTATTTAGAGAGATGAGCACCTGGGTGGGTCATCTGGGGTTTAGACTCAAGGCTGAGGTGCAGTCTCTCTGTTAAATCCGGAACACACGGAGATGTCAAAAACGCCAAGACAGATGTGAGTGAATACGTGCCCGATTACAAAGTCCCACACTCACTTGGGAATCTACTATAAACTCCTTTTACGTTTCAAGAAAATAAAGTTATACACATGTCAAGAATGTTTTTAATGACAGATATGGTCTTTTTTCCTTCTATGATCCTAGAAAGTAACAGATTCTTTCACGGTTATTATTCAGTTACAATTTGTTGTCATTACTTGTGATATTTCTGAGTCAGTAACCGAATATGTCTACTAAAATAACAATTTAAAAAAAGCGTTAGTATGTTTAATGTTCCCAGTTCTTCAATTTTAATCAGCATAGCCTGAAAAATTCCAAACATTCCAACCTTTACCAGATCTTTGCATATTTGAATGCGGTTTCCTTTTTTTTTTTTTGAAACTCTTATTATTTTTGTATGTGATTAATTACAAAAACAAGAAAATGTAAAGTTATATAAACAAATTGTCATAAGGAAAAATCTTATATGAAGACGGAGTAATTAAGAGTTTGAACTGCTAGCTTTAACCACTGAAACACAATTTGAGCACAGATTTCTGTAGCAAGGAGATATGTGTGCAGGCCTGCTAAGTCACTTCAGTCATGTCTGACACTTTACGGCCCCATGGACTGTATCCTGCCAAGCTCCTCTCTCCATGAGATGCACCAGGCAACAATAATGGAGCTGGTAGCCTGGTGGGCTATAGTCATGGGGTCACAAAGAGCTGGACACCATTGAGAGACCAAAACACCACCACCACCACCACCATATATTCATTTACTTATTCATTGCTTATTTCTCCTAGAGAAATATAAGAACAAAAAGGGCAGAAACCATATCGTTTTTCCAAGTATATACTCAAGCATTTAGAACAGTGCCCAGAACACGTAGGACTGTCACAAATAGTTACTGGGGGGAGGGAGGTGGAAGAATAAAAATAAAATAACAACGTGATGCCTCTGAGCGTGAGCAGAGCTTCTGACCCTCCCCTGCCCCGCCTTCCCCCACAATGTGAAACATTTTCTATCTGGCCAGTCACTGTGCATGATGCTAAAATAAATTGAATAACTGTCCAGAAATAGAGATCAATGGAACAAAATAGAAAGCCCAGAGACAAATCCACACACCTATGGACACCTTATCTTTGACAAAGGAGGCAAGAATACACAATGGAAAAAAAGACAACCTCTTTAACAAGTGGTGCTGGGAAAACTGGTCAACCACTTGTAAAAGAATGAAACTAGAACACTTTCTAACACCATACACAAAAATAAACTCAAAATGGATTAAAGATCTAAATGTAAGACCAGAAACTATAAAACTCCTAGAGGAGAACATAGGCAAAACACTCTCCAACATAAATCACAGCAGGATCCTCTATGACCCACATCCCAGAATTTTAGAAATAAAAGCAAAAATAAACAAATGGGACCTAATGAAACTTAAAAGCTTTTGCACAACAAAGGAAACTATAAGCAAGGTGAAAAGACAGCCCTCAGATTGGGAGAAAATAATAGCAAACGAAGCAACAGACAAAGGATTAATCTCAAAAATATACAAGCAACTCCTCCAGCTCAACTCCAGAAAAATAAATGACCCAATCAAAAAATGGGCCAAAGAACTAAACAGACATTTCTCCAAGGAAGACATACAGATGGCTAACAAACACATGAAAAGATGCTCAACATCACTCATTATCAGAGAAATGCAAATCAAAACCACAATGAGGTACCATTACACGCCAGTCAGGATGGCTGCTATCCAAAAGTCTACAAGCAATAAATGCTGGAGAGGGTGTGGAGAAAAGGGAACCCTCTTACACTGTTGGTGGGAATGCAAACTAGTACAGCCACTATGGAAAACAGTGTGGAGATTTCTTAAAAAGCTGGAAATAGAACTGCCATATGACCCAGCAATCCCACTTCTGGGCATACACACCAAGGAAACCAGATCTGAAAGAGACACGTGCACCCCAATGTTCATCGCAGCACTGTTTATAATAGCCAGGACATGGAAGCAACCTAGATGCCCATCAGCAGACGAATGGATGAGGAAGCTGTGGTACATATACACCATGGAATATTACTCAGCCATTAAAAAGAATTCATTTGAATCAGTTCTAATGAGATGGATGAAACTGGAGCCCATTATACAGAGCGAAGTAAGCCAGAAAGAAAAATCCCAATACAGTATATTAGCACATATATATGGAATTTAGAAAGATGGTAACAATGACCCTATATACAAGATAGCAAAAGAGACACAGAGATAAACAACAGACTGTTGGACGCTGTGGGAGAAGGCGAGGGTGGGATGATTTGAGAGAATAGCATTGAAACATGAATATTACCATATGTGAAATATATCACCACTCCAGGTTGGATGCCTGAGACAGGGCGCTCGGGGCTGGTGCACTGGGACGACCCTGAGGGATGGGATGGGGAGGGAGGCGGGAGGGGGGTTCAGGATGGGGAACACGTCTACACCTGTGGCCGATTCGTGTCAATGTATGGCAAAAGCCACTACAATATTGTGAGGTATTTAGCCTTCAATTAAAATAAATTAATTAATTTAATAAATAAAATCTATTTGAAAATGTGGGAAAAAACTCTATAACTGTCCAAACAGCTAATCTTAATTCAAAGTCTATCTGAATAATGACATTTAAAAAATGGAACTCCGTCAAATGAGTTACACATAATTGGAATTATACAGTAACTAAAAATAATTTAATGAATAAAACTGTAACTTAACAATCACATCCATAAACTAATTTAGCAAGGTTGGGTAGGGGGTCCTACGAGATTAGCAAATCTGTGAGTGTTATGAAATAATGATGCCTAGGAATTCCGAGCTACAGCAGAGGCGAGAGGCAACAGCAGGACTGCACGTGGGACATCTAGGCTCTGCGCATCTCCCGAGAGTTTGAATGCCACGGCTTCATAGTTGGCTATATTCGAACATTCCGTGACCTCATTAAACTATAAAGACTCTTTTCACTATGTGCCTGTAAGAGGTCTGCATCTTCAGAGAAAAGAAGAATCTACTTCAATATGCAAATACTGTTGAGGGTATGATGTAATTCCTGGTATGCCACACAACATGAGGGATCCCATGGCCAAATGACTCTGCGATCCGTCTCTTTGGGAGTATTCTGTTGTGGTTCAGTCCCTAAGTAGTGTCCAGCTCTGCAACCCCATGCAACTCTGCAGTTTGCCAGGCTCCTTTGTCCCCCACTATTGCCCAGAGTTTGCGCAGATTCATTCCTATTGAGTCAGTGACGCCATCCAACCATCTCATCCTCTGAAAATATAGTCATTGCTTTTATTAACACCTAATTGAACTACTCAAATTTAGCCTATTAATAGCACCTATTACATGATTTCACCTCATTTGCAAATGAAAACTCCATCTGGTGGTGTTCTACTAACCTGGTTCGAATCTGACATGGTTATTCAAACTACATAAACACCAGTCTCTGTGTACATATTTACTGTGTGCATTTAATGTGTAGATTAACATCAAAGATTTTAGTGTGTAAGATTAATGTAAAAGATTTTGATCATTTTAAAAAATTCTCCTAAAACTATCAAACTTTGAAATTCCATATACTAAAAAGTTCTATGCATTAAAAGAAAGGGGGGGGGGGTTGTTTCCTTGTGGATAATAATTGATGTTTATCCCACTATTATGCTTAGAAGTATTTTGAGGGAATAAAAATCATACTTGGGGGATAATTCCCATTGCTCTAGAAAAACAAAGCACCTGGCAAAGTGTCAGTCACTCAGTTGTGTCTCACTCTGAGACCCCAAGACTGTAGCCCGCCAGGCTCCGCTGTCCATGGGCTTCCCTAGGCAAGGACACTGGAGTGGGCTGCCACGCCCTCTTCCAAGGGATCTTCCCAACTTAGGGGTCGAACCCAGGTCTCCTGCCTCGCAGGCAGATTCCTAACCATCTGAGCCACCAGGGAATAACATTTGCTCTTTTATCCTGAAACAACAGCGACAAACGTATGACACAGAATTGAAATCAAGTTGAAAAAGAAGAAAACAAAAGACTGAAAGGTAAGTAACTGGGAAAATTTAAATGCAATTTTAAAAACTGCAAATAAATTATTTAGTTACCTGAATGAGAAATTGGTTGATTCGTTTTTAATGCCCTTAGTTCAGGCAGGTATCATTTCCCTTATAAAGTCAAGTTAGGTGCAATTAAAAATTTAACGCAGTGTATTAAGCCAAGTGCATCTGTAACTCCAATGCCTGTGTGTCTCTGCAGAAGACTAGTTTGGCCTCTCATTTTACTTTACAAGAAGCCTAGGGATTTAGTACCAAAACTATTATATAAGTACTTAATTTCGGAGCTGCAAGTTACTCTCCTGAAATTTTATTTTGAGTGGGAGAAAATGTTTTCTATAATTTATATTCTTTTACAGGGAGTAAAATGAAGCAATATTTCTCCCCAAATGAGAATGAGTCAATCCTGAGTCTCCAGCATTGCGGATGATTGCTTCACCACTGAACCACCAGGGAAGCCCCCTGCACATAAACTGTGACGGAAATGAAACAGTATTTCTCCCAAATGAGAAGTGAGTCAATTATCATTTAAATATGTGAAACCAAGCAAGGCATATTTTTTAAAAAAATCAGACACAGATAATAAAAGGCACTTTGTCAACAAGCTTATAGCTTGTTGCTTATAGTGTATAGCTATATAAGCTTATAGCTTAAAGCCTGACTTTCCAATTAACTTTCCCTTATTTGAGTAGCCTCCAACTAATAAAAATAAATGAAAAAAAATAAAAATAAAAATAAAAAAATAAAAGCAAACCGGCTCAATCAGAGTGGTGAAAGGGAAGGTTAAGAAAGACCCATCTTTATCTATATGATACGAACAGAGAAATTAAATAACTTAGTAAATATTTTAATATGGTGGCTGCGGTGGTGGTTTATTTGCTATGTTGTGTCAACTCTTTGCAACCTCATGGACTGTAGCCAGCCAGGCTCCTCTGTCCATGGGATTTCCCAGGCCAGAAGACT